ACAAGGTCCAGCTTAGCACTTTTTAACACTTTTTCAAACTGTAGAGCTTGATGAAGTTTCATGGAAAGACAAACAGGGTAAAAAATCAAATCCAAAAATCATGAAGGGCCCAAGCTCTCTAACAACTATTGGGACTCAATGCAAAGACAGAATCATTGTTTGAGCCAAATTTCAATCTGGTGGATTTAAAAGCAAGCATATCTTCAAAATCAGGGGCAAATCAAAAGCAATTTAACGTATATCTAACTTCCTCCTGAGTTATTTCCATAGGGCTTGCTTGTGTAGATGGGATTGGATGTGAGGGATGGAGAACACCTTGTTCCTGAGACAGATGGTGGGACAAGGTCAACATCTTGTCTAAATCCCGTGCCTTGCATTTCAAATTTACTCTTTGACATTTCATGTTTGTTTTCTCTTGTTACCTAACCTTGACAGAATCCTTGGTGTTCCGAATCAGAGGAAATTTAACTAAATAAAAGTACTGCTAAGTGTCAGAGCAGATACTGCAACACCTGAATTTGAAGTCTATTTAGCCAGGAGTGAGAGAGTATCTGAAACAGTGGAGTGTGGGAAACGGTTCTTCTTCTTCCCCACTTAAGTCTAAACAAGATGCATTTTCAGCCAGCCAAGGCCTTCTGCTGATGACACCCAGCTAAGTGACCAAACCCAGGGCTGCTGCTCAAGGACACACGAAAGCAAAACAACAGGTGTGGTTCAAGGCAGGAAGGGTGGGCAGCAAGTTATGAGTTGCCCCTAATAGTTACTGCCCTAACCTGGGGCTCAGGGATGCCAGTTGGCTCTGGAGATCAGGGTGTTCCTGCACTGTGGGGGTGACACTGACTGGATAGGGGGTGACTGGGGTGTAAATGTGACAGGGTCAGCAGGTGAGAGGGGCCCGCTTGGACCTTCCTGAGGGACACGTCCCTGGTACGGGCTCTGCACTTTAAAATACAGTCCCACAGTGGCCGTTCCTCTGTGAGAGGCAGTAATGGACGTGGAGTAAGTTATTTTCTGTGTTAAGCTCACAGGGCCAGAAAGAAATCAGTGGTAAAAAAATTATGCTTTTTCATTACTGTATGATTGCTGTTGATAGGTTCAGACTTCTGTGCAGATGTGAATTGTTTTCCTTCATATTCTTATATTAAACCTTGTTTGTTTGGGGTTTTTTTGCAGATAACAAAAAATGCATAGCAACGTCATGACCATTCTTCAGATTTTTCTAGTACAAACCAAAAAAACAATATATTAAAGCCACTTCTCTTGGCAAGACTGCTTCTAAACTTCTATTTACAGCTGCACAGCAAATTTGGCCTGTCCCATTTCATTCTGGTGAATCCATAGAGATTCAGCTGTCAAAAAAAACTATTTGTCTTCTGCATGGCAAAAAAATATGCAGAGGTCCTGTCCTTCTAGGGACAAATGCCAATCCCCCATCCTACTCGGGGGAGAAGGAACGGGGGGACAGATAGGGTGGGAAGAGTGAGCAAGCTGTCTGAGATGCCAATCAGGGTCAATCCACAACACAAGCAACTTTGCAACGTGCAAACTTCAGAAACCAGCATGTTGGAGGGGGCAGGTGGAAATACACCAGCTGATGTGCAAGGGAGAGCAGGAGAACAAAGAGGGGGTTGGCTGAAAAGTATACAGAAGGGGCCGGTCAGTATGCTCATCAGCACAGTCTGTTCTGTGTTCTTAAGTCCTTTCTTCCTTTCTTAAGTCCTAATCTCTGCATAACCTCCCTCTCTACCCTGTGTGCCTAACAGGGGAAAACAGCACGAGTGGGACTGCTGCCACCTACTGGAGTCAGACCCGAGTGTAGGTGCCCCAGGGCTGTAGTGGCAGTTACTGAAGCGAGTGTGGGGGTTCCAGCCTCTGGGGTGGGAATGCTGCATCTCCCAAAAATCAGGTGCTGGGGCAAACTGGCATGAGGCAGGTGCGGGGCTTGGTGCTGGAGGCTGAAGCAGGACCACAGGTCACACAGCCTGTGGAGCTGGTGCTGGCTGATGGTGGGGTACCCGCATGTTCCCCAAACCAGGTGTGCATGGAGAGCGCATTTGCTGTCAATATTTAAGCTGGATGAGCCAGGGAGGACGAGGGCCTGGGTCAGGGCTGCAGTATCAGGCAGGCAAAGGGTCAGTGCTTATACCTCGATGGACCCGTGAATATGGGATGCCTATGGGACAAGTGTGATTGCTGCATGTTTGTGAGTAAGCACTGATCTGAATGAGCCAGCAAACAGGGCATTCATGGGACAGGTAAGAAGGGGAGGATCTAGGCAGAGGTTGTAGGCAGACAGTGCCGGTACTCGAGGGAACTGCAAATGTGTATGTGCCTGTGAATCTAGAGAACATTGCATGTGTGCCTGTACTATTGACCTTTTGTCTCTGACAGATGAAGAGAAGGGGATGTGGCTGCTTGTGCTGGTTTTACATGGGTCCTGTCTGTAGATTAAGTTGCAGGCATGGCTTGGCTGCAGCAGCTTGTGACCAACCATGTCAGTGTCCTGATGGTGTCCGTACATGTCTCTGGAACACACACTCAGCTTCATTGCTGGTTGAACCTGCAAGTGGGGAAGCAGCACCTACATCCCTCAGCCAAGTAGGTTCCTGCTACCCAGGTACCTGAGGCTGGGCTCCAGTAGCTGTGCACGAGTCCTGGGCCAGAGCTGCTAGAGGTGGTGGCTACTCCTAACATCCAGTAACAGAAACTCACACTAGAACAAAGTGTTTGAGAGAACCTGGATGGTCCTACAGTTATTCTGTAGTCCCACTAGTGGCTTGTAACTGTTTTTCTTGGTGGCTTAAGCCACAACAAGCATTTTTTGGCATAAAACAGTTGGCTTGTCATGTGGAATCAGCTAATGCTGCTACTGAAAAATACTTCCTGTCATTATTGATGTTACAAAAATCAGCAAGAGAAAGGCTGTTCCAGGAGTGAGGAGGAGCCAAGAGCAGAGGTTGGCCACAATGCAGGCTAGGAAGTACCTCTACAGCTGGGACACAGGCCCGCAGGACCTAAACCAGGCAAGCAGAACCAGGTGGTGAGAGCAACAGCTCCCCTCTGAAGCAAATCCAGGAAATCCAAACATCAGTTCAGGAATAGGGCTGGGCCTAGGCCCACCTACAGCATAGGTTAGGGGAGTACAGGATGCCTGAGCAGAAAGGGGATCTGTGGGCCCATGGGCAGGGCGCGGTAGATAAGGGTCCCTGGTGAGGTGGCTGAGGGCAATTAAGGCCCTATACTTTCCCCAGGGCTCTGACAGCTGGATTCACAGATGACAGCAGGTTCAAACCTGAATAAGTATGATCTTCCATCTGATCAGCATGGATGGCAAGGCTGAGCTGTATCCTTGTGCTTTATTTAGATGGGAAGGGTAAGAAAGCAGTGGAGTGGGGCTGGACAGACTTCACCTCTGTTGGTCCATCTGGCCGCCTCCCCTCCAGAATGTGAAACGGACATCTCGCTGGACATTCCTGATCTGTGCCAGCATTACTCCTACTCTTATTTATTTATTATTAAAAACAAACAAACAAACAAAAAGCCACACTTTTTTTCCAATTATAACTTCCAATCTCTTTTGAAAAATAGATTTTATGCTACACCAGAAACAGGCATTTCCATCAGCTTATGCAGAACACATTTTTCAAAGGAGAAAATCCCAAGTTTTCAAATCCTGCTTTCATAGTATGTGCTTTATTTATATCATACTCTGACAGTTCTTCCCCTCTCAGGAGAAAATTGAGGAATATTTACCACAATATTTACCTCTCAACATTGAATTGCTGTATCCAGCTGTACAGCTATTATCATCTTTCACAGACTGTTTTGGTAATTGCAGTTTCCCATGAAAATTAACAGGATTTGGAAGATGCTTGCTGGTTAGTCTGATAGAAATGGTGGAAGAAGCAAAGAAGCATAACATATTTAAGTCTCTGCCTCTCTTTCAGCCTTCTCTCAACCATTTACATCTGCAAGAACAGAAAGATTAATTTCCCTCCTAACTTCAGTGCCCCTTTAAAAAATAGCTAGCCAAACACTTCTGACCATTACAAGAGTTACTGTGTAGCAGAAACTCCCTGTCCAATTTGGCAGCAAAGACTCACTCTTTCTAAAACAAGAAGTTTCAGAAGATACCCAAAACCCTGTGGAACACTGAGGGCTTAATGGAAAATGGCTGGATAGCAAAAACAATCACACAGGATAAAGGAGGAAAAGGCCTCAAAAGTTAACCAGGAAATAGAAGAAGGGGCAGTACTCCTCTCTCTAAGACTTAGTCATGCTCTTGGCTGCTCAGCATCAGAGTCTGGATGCTATCTCATCATGTCTGATGCCATGATGACACAGGTTATACAATGCTTTCCATTGGAAAGGGGAAGAAACGTGATCCACAGATAACTTGGCCTTTATTTCACACCAGTTGCTGTGTTCACGTCCTCATATGATATTAATTATGTACCTGGACAGAGACCTTCACTGTTACATTAACGAGGTAATTCAGAGTTCATCTCATCCTTCTAGGCCAAGAGTTAAACACATCAGTTCATGAACTAGCAGAACTACTGAGTTATGTTGGAACATGTCAGATCAAAAGATAAAACCAGGTTCAACCAGACACTGCTGAGCTGTTGGTGCTTCTTAGCACCTGTTACATCCCATTACGTGCTGGCAGCCAAAGGAAGCTCCTCTGCCTCAGACACATTTCTGCTGCACAACACGCAGCACATCAAGTCTGTATACATCACTGCTGGAACAGTAGTCAATCCACCACCACTTTAGGAGAGCTGTGCTTACCTGTCCAGGCTAATACCCACCCATCAACCCTCCAAGATGGCTCTCCTGCTCCATGGAGGTATGACAGCTCGATCAGAAATCTCTTATCTTGAAGCTGCATTGTCCAATACCAAATACACCCAGAAGCAGTGCCACAGGTCAACTCTACCTTTACATTTGTCAACAACAACTCAAAGCATCCCAAAAGCACATACAAATTTCAGTTTTGCTCCCCATAATGCTCAGATACACCAGCTCCCCAGCATTATGTCTTTCTTAGCACATAACTCTTTGCAAAAGTGGCCTTCTGGATGAGGAGATCTTTTGAATAATTTCATAAATATGAAATTAATGTCCATCCGATAACTGCTTCTAACATCATGAGAATACTCCAGCAACTCATGGACGTTTTCAGACTTTGTGGAAAAGATCTCAGGTTGGAAAATGACTTGAGATTCCAAAACACTCAGGCAAGTGCTGGAATAAAATACTGAAGTGAAACATCCTCATGGAGCAAGATGAAGTGGACAATTCTTTTACTTACAATATCTGTAACAAGAAAAAAAAACCAAAACAACCACAAATCTAGTTAGAGCATGAAAATACCTGAAAAGGACCTCTTCTACAGAATGTCACCATAGCAATATGTCACAGTTGACTCAGGATTGGCAATTAAGCCAGTGACAACAAGGCTCTCGATCCCCTCCCACTCAGGTAAGGAGGGAGACAGAAGGGAAGAAGAAGCAGGAGGGAATTTGTCTTCTGTGATCTCTAACCTTCCTCTGTGCTTATGTAAATATATGGAATGGAGTATCTTTGGCCAACTTTGCTTTCTGTCTAATTCAGCCTCCTATGGGGGGGTCATCGATCTCCTGGTAGCGTCCGAGCCAGCAGAGTAAAGACCTTGGAGTCCCAGCAGTAACATAAACATTCCAGTGTTATCAGTCCACTAACTGAACACCTGCTGCTAGTTAAGAGAGAGCTTACTGAAGGAAAAAAAAATAAATCAGTAAAAGTGGCTTCATCCTGGCTCAAACCAGGACACAAGACCATGCTTCTACCACTTAGAATCACAGAATCTTATTGGTTGGAAAAGACCTTTGAGATAGTCGAGTCCAACCATTAACCTAACTCTACCAGCTGGATGCTAAACCATGTTCCTAAGCACCACATCTACACATCTTTTAAACACCTCCAGGGATGGTGATTCTACCACCTCCCTGGGCAGCCTGTTCCAGTGTTTGATAGCATCTTCAGTGATTAAGTTAATTCTAATACCTAATCTAACCTCCTCCTGGCGCAACTTGAATCCATTTCCTCTTGTCCTGTTGCTTGTTACTAGGGAGAAGAGAACAACCCCCACCTCACTACAAACTCCTTTCAGGTAGTTGTAGAGAGTGATATGGTCTCCCCAGACTAAATGCTCAGATGCTCCTCTTTTAAGTCTTGTTCTCCAGACCCTTCACCAGCTTTGTTGCCCTTCTCTGGACCTGCTCCAGCACCTCAATGTCCTTCTTGTAGTGAGGGGCCCAGAACTGAACACAGCACTCGAGGTGCAGCCTCACCAGTGCTGAGTACAGGGGCACAATCACTTCTCTACTCCTGCTGATCACACTATTTCTGATAAAAGCCAGGATGCCATTGGCCTTCTTGGCCACCTGGGCACACTGCTGGCTCATATTCAGCTGGCTGTCCACCAACACCCCCGGGTCCTTTTCCACCAGGCAGTTTTCCAGCCAGTCTTCCCCAAGCCAGTAGCATTGCATGGGGTTGTGACTCAAGTTCAGCATCTTATGTCATCTGCAAACTTACTGAGGGTGCACTCAATCTCCTCATTCAGATCACTCATAAAGACATTAAACAGATACTGGGGGCCCCAACACTGAGCCCTGGAGAACACCACTTGTGACCAGCCACCATCTCCATTAACCACAGCAATTCGGCCTGGCCATCCAGGTATTTTTTTACTCAGCAAAGAGTACACTGGTCTTGGCCATATTTAGCCAGTTTCTCCAGGAAAATGCCGTGGGAAACAGTGTCAAAGGTTTTACTAAAGTCCAGGTAAATTATATCCACAGCCTTTCCCTCATCCACTATGCAGGCCACCTCATCATAGAAGGAGATCAGGTTGGTCAAGCAGGACCTGCCTTTCATGAACCCATGCTGACTGGGCCTCAGCACCTGGTTTCCTGCATGTGCTGCATAACTGCACTCAAGATGATCTGTTCCATAACCTTTCCTGGCACCAAGGTGAGACTGACATGTCTGTAGCTCCCCAGATCCTCCCTAGACCTTCCTGGAGATGGGCATCGCATTTGCCGATCTCCAGTCATCTGGGACCTCCCTGGTTAACCAGGGCTGTTGACAAACGTGGTGTGGATTTCCACCAGCTCCTTCAGTATCCTTGGGTATATCCCATCCAGCCCCACAGACCTGTGTATGTCTAAGTGGTGCAGCATCTGACAGAGGGATAACTAGTTACATTGTCCCGTCATATTTAATTATTTGAGGGTCTTTGAAGCATTACTAAAGAGTCTATGAAAGACAATACCAAAAACTGAATATGGAATGTATAGGCCTATAATGCTGTACCTACCAATGAAATCTTCGGGAAATTCAGAGCATTTGCACTAAAACATAACACACAGATATTCTCAGAAAAAGCATGGAGAATTGCCAAAATAGGATATAGAACTCTGCATAGACTTCTGCTAGGAAGAACATAATCTCTATGGTTAGCTGCATAAAAAACGACCTGCCTTTCATGAACCCATGCTGACTGGGCCTCAGCACCTGGTTTCCTGCATGTGCTGCATAACTGCACTCAAGATGATCTGTTCCATAACCTTTCCTGGCACCAAGGTGAGACTGACATGTCTGTAGCTCCCCAGATCCTCCCTAGACCTTCCTGGAGATGGGCATCGCATTTGCCGATCTCCAGTCATCTGGGACCTCCCTGGTTAACCAGGGCTGTTGACAAACGTGGTGTGGATTTCCACCAGCTCCTTCAGTATCCTTGGGTATATCCCATCCAGCCCCACAGACCTGTGTATGTCTAAGTGGTGCAGCATCTGACAGAGGGATAACTAGTTACATTGTCCCGTCATATTTAATTCTTTGAGGGTCTTTGAAGCATTACTAAAGAGTCTATGAAAGACAATACCAAAAACTGAATATGGAATGTATAGGCCTATAATGCTGTACCTACCAATGAAATCTTCGGGAAATTCAGAGCATTTGCACTAAAACATAACACACAGATATTCTCAGAAAAAGCATGGAGAATTGCCAAAATAGGATATAGAACTCTGCATAGACTTCTGCTAGGAAGAACATAATCTCTATGGTTAGCTGCATAAAAAACCTTTTGGCATTAAAATTATTTGGTGATGAATATAAGAAAGCATCTGGGGAAAGAAAACAAAACAAAAACGTCAGTAAATCTCAGTTTCTTTGCTAGAAACTAGGGACCTTGTTTTAAGTCTTTTTTGAAATAACACCTAAAAATAATAATATAAAATGCTAACTTAAAAACAAAGACAACAAGAAGACACCCATATTAGTCAGTCTGGGTATTCAACTTTGTACTTAGGGGTCTGGCTTAATTCCTCCTTAACAGGAGTATGCAAGCAGAGCTTTTAAACTTACTGCACAATGCTTTTGTGGGATTGACCTGTTGCCCAGCAAGCAGCTGCTGCAGCTTCTTGATGTCTATGCGTGCCTCAGCCATGCTTTCCAGATCTCTGTCTTGAGCAGAACTTTGACACCCATCCTCTGATGCTAAAAGCATAAGAACACAACAAATACTTGGTCAAAACATCATGAGGAGTTTCAACACCTATAAGGACACACCTGATAATCAATGAACAACTGGTACTTGAATGGTTGTTTTTCAGAAACAGTAGTGCATGGAAGAGAAAGCCCAGTTTTCCTACAAAGTTGTCAAGGATACTGAAAGAGATCTCCCACACACAAACATGGAAGAGCCATTGGCCACTTTTCTTTTCAAGTTTTCATTTGAAGACTTCAAAGTACTGGATGTTATTTTTTAAGGACTAACAGAAAGTAAGTACTGTTACCAGTACCACACTTAAGTAAAGCTCTCAGACAGACACAAGAGGCAAGAAATGGGGAAACTTACCCCAAGGAGGATTTCCCAAGTCTTTAAAATGTGTTGTTACGGATACTAAGTCAGTTTCTATTTTCAAGTTCATTTCTCCACTCAAGTTTGCTTCAATCACCTGCAATACAGTCAATCTCAGTTTTAGGCAAGCCACTTCTACACTGTAGAAATACAGAAGAATAAGGTGCAGCTTTGTTCAAATACAAGCTTGCAGAAGCAGTTCAGTACCTTCACAACTCAACTGTACTTTCTGAACCTTGTTTGAACGTTTCAGTGTTCAGCTACAAAATGTTCCTGTGTGAATTATCCTAGATCAACCTCCCTGAAATTACAAAAAGAAGTTCCATTGCTCTCCAGTAATTTTAGAACAAGTACTGGCTTTGGGAAGTTCATGTGCTGAAGAATAAGGCTTTAGAAATAAGATACTGAAGCTGAAGAAATGCAAAGTGTCCTGCATTTCCACCCAGCTTTTCAACAAACCTATTGGCACCTATGCAGTCCGTGTGACACCCACAGAAAGTGGAATGCATCAAGAGCTGATCTTCAGTTGCAGCGCTGCTTTCCAAGACTTAAAAACAGGCAACAGCTGCAGAAGAGCAGTAACTCCAGCCAGGACTTTTAACTGCTAGAAATCCTGGAAATGGGCTGAAAGCTTTCAAATGCCTTTTTGACAATGTGTTCAACCAGAAGGAAACTATGTATCATTTTACACAAGTCCCAGGCAGATCAGAGACTTCCCAAAGCACATGTAAGCACTTCATTTCTGTGATTAGAATACTCAACAATTTTAAAAGACACTCACATCACAACCAGAATTTCCTACAGAATGGGAGATGCCCACAGATGAATGCTCCCAAACAATGGCCAAGTAAAACCTGAAAGCACTTGTAAGTACTTTTTGCAGCACTGATCTTGACCAGCTTTACTATCAGGATGCATCCAGAACAAATACTTAACTGTGACACTAGATGCTTTTGCTCTTCAATAACAGGAAAGCCTGTAGAGGATGCGTGCAGTGTGCCTTCTCCCTTAGAGCTATCAAAGCTGTTTCACAGATTTTCCTGCTTTGGAGCAGGAGGTAATGAACAGGAAAGTGGATATGCCCAAGGTTGCTAAACACCAAAGATCAATCCCATCATACAGCTAATTCTGTGTGAAATCCCCAACCCTGGAAGCAAAACTGTTATACACTGTGCTTAATTGTAAGTACTTCCATAGAGGACAAGAGGGAAGGAAGGAGACAGGAAAAACAATAACCCCAAAAGACTGGCAAGGGAGAAGATCCTGAAATATTTACACTTGTATTTGCAAAATGCCATTTGCCATTTGCAAAGGTGCCAGAAACCCAGAGTAATCTCTCAACTCTTTCAAGCCTTGGAAGACTGAAACAGTCTCAGTTTCAGGATTCTCAGTTTAAATAAAATTTCCAATTTATCAAAGTCAGTGTGAACCCCCCTCAAAACAAACTATTCCAAAGGGCTATGCTTACTAACTTTCCTCACAGTCAATAGTGGTGACTGCATGCAACAAAAACTAAAAAAACACAATCAAACCCTTTATCTGGTCAACTGCAGAGGGCTTCCTTCAATGGAAGGTCCACCAGCACTCCAGAAATGCAGGAAAACTCACCATGTCAGGCTCTAAAGCAAAGGCTGACATCCAGGAGCTATCAGTAGGATTTTGTTTAAAGACTGCCTCAAGTTTCCCTAAAGCTGATGCATACAGATGCCTAACACAAGACACACTTTAATAGGCATTTCTTTTATAAAATCACCCGGGAAGTCTCCAGCTAGCTTCCTGAAGGACTGCAATTTATTACCAGCTACAAAATGTGGCCTGTAGCAACACAACACTACATTATTTCAAGGGTTCAGTACAAAGAGCACCACTTTCTGGGAAGCCCAGGGCAAGCTCTTCAGTTTAAATCCTACAACAAATCCCATCGTTCTCTTCAGCCCTGACACAGTTTTCAGCTGTCTTTAGTTCAATGTCTGATCTGTGCCAAAATAAGACATAACACAGGGGCACCAGTCTGGGCAACAGGGAAACATGCCGTGTACAAGATAAAATAAGGTTTGTAGGACACATGTCTGAAGTGCCTTAACTTACAAGGGAATTGCTGAGATTCTTCATTCTCTCCACAACACTCTTCATTGTTTTCAGCGCTGGTAGGTAAATACTGACCTAGAAAGACATAAGAACTGCATTTGCACAAATTTTCCATGCATGACTGGGATGTGATGTGTTTATTTTTCCCTTTAATTCTATCTTATTTTGGACTCAGTTATCTATTGAGTGTGCAGGGAGCACAGTATTTAGCTAAAATCAGCAAACAACTCAGGAACAGAGGAACTCTTTATCATTATACCAACAGGCCATCACTCTAGCAATTGCTTCAGACAAATTACCTGAAGTCTGCATTAAAAATAATATTAGATATAGCTTTTTGCAAATCAGATTCTCACATGAACCTACATCTCTGTTACCGAGCAGTTGACAGTACTGTAGCCAAAAAAGCAAAGGACATTATTCCCATGGTACTCTAATAATTTCTGGAATTGCATCAGTGTAAATCTCAAATGACAATAAAATACATCAAGTTTCTACTAAGTCATACCTCTTCAGAATTTAAATACTCTTAGCTATAGACAAAGCAGACATCCATAACCTCAGATAGGAGCACATTTGCTCAAAGACCTTTTATTGAAACTCTGCTAAAAGTCAAAAAGGATATGGAGAGCATATATAAAAATCAGGAGGAAAACACATATATTAATATAACTCTGCCAGGTAGGCCATCAGTTTCAGAAAGAACAGATTATTATTGGTACCTAAACAGCTGAAACAGTCTAAACCTGTGTGGTTCAGAGGTGCTCCTGCCCAAAGTTATGCAAGTCCTTTGCTCCTCCCTCCCTCCCTCCCTCCCCCCTGAATATGACAGCAACACTGGAAACAGGTCCCGGACTCTCTTGACAAGATGGGAGCCATGCCCCACCCCTCTCCAAATCTCTAGCCTCTAGGCTTCCCTCTCTCCTATCACCTCCTCTCCAAAACCAACTGATAATATACTTGACAGCAACAGCGTTCTACTTCCAACCTCCTCTTTCTGTAGGAAATATAAAAATGGATCCTTACATCAAAGTCTGGCACACTGGGCTCTCTGAAGTCATTCCATAATCTTCTGGGAATAACTCCCACAGGAATGTCATGTGTCACAATCCTACTGCTGCTGGATAAGGATGGCTTGAGGGAGAGAGATGAAGACAGCAATTTGGAAGGACAATCAAAAGCACAACAAAGAGCCATACACTACACTGAAACCTCTTTCACCTAATGCCTTCTTATTAGTGAAGGTAAAAGCATGGTTGCACTTACTAGCTCCACAGCAACTCTCAGACAGGGACAGTGTTTGTTAGTCAACTTGATCTTCACTGCCTTAGCATTCTGGGCAGTTTTTAACGCTCTCGACAGGTTCTCAGGCACCAACTCTAAATAGATCTCATTGTGCTCTGCAGCTACTCCTTCCATTTGATATTCATCGAAGAAATTCCCCTGTAATTTTTTAAATTTGGGAAATGAAATAAAGCAGATTAGAAAAAAACAAAACAAAAGAGACAGAAGGGCAAGTTTTGCCTATCATCAGATCTTAAGCTTAGAACTGCACGTATCCAACAGGAATTTCCTCTGCCTGGAAGGAATCAAGGCAGGCTGCGAAAGCAACAAGGCTCACTGCTCCAAGGTGAACCTCTTCACTTCAGATCCTCCCCTAACACCTGTCAGTCCTCAAAACAAGGGGTATGACAAGTAAGTGGTGCTTCCTGGTCTCCAGTTTTGGGCAGGCCCCGGTGGGTGCGCCCACTGAAGTGACAACCGAGGCGAAGGGGACGTCTGTGTAGAAACACCAGGCCTGTACAAGCGAGTGCCTCTGGTGACCAGCCTGGCCTCGGGAAAACCGGGACACCACGGGTGCCGAGCGCACAGGTGCCAGGAACCCCTGCCCGGGCGCGGGGCCCGCCCGCCTCCCCGCCAGACTCACCTGGCTCAGCTGGCA